CTGCTGTGTAGGTGGGATTTAGATCTGTCTGGTTATTAAAAGATGAGGGGTGTGGCGAAGAACATAGTGAGAAGGAAACTAGAAAGGAATTTCCTATACATAAGATAAAATCATTGTGAGAACATTCTAAAAGTATTAAGTAAAAGTAAGAAGTGAGATGTGCTATGGGAGCAAGTGAGACAGTGAATTGCTAAAGGTTCTCTTGAAAATCTATAAAATACATGAATATGCAAAGTACACTCATTTTCACATTTTGTATAAGCTCCGCATGTAAACCATCTTCTCTCTGAAGCCCACTTCATGTTCCTCACACCCACTCCCCAGCGCCTAGCCTGTTGTGGGCGCTCAATAAATATTAAACAATCAAAGCACAAACCATTGTCAGAAAGTTTGGAATTCACAGGAATCAATAGTATTGTTATCATTTAACATTTATTGAGGGTCAACAGCATGACTTAGTCCACATGTGCAAATAGGTTATTTTATAATCACATATTAAGCAAATAGTTAAACACAATTTGTATTAACTAAACTTCCAATTTTACTCCAGTGATCTGAGATGTAAAATTGTTTCTTTTTCAAATAATGTTGACATACCATGAAATATAAACTTTAATTATTTAAATAAATAAGTTTCTTTCAGGGAAATCATTACTGTTAGGTATTAACATTCACTTGAAAGTATGAGATCAATCTATAATAAGTACACATCACATATTCTGAATAGGCCCGTGCATGTACAAAGAATAGAAGAATCTGAAAAGGTGAGGGAGGACAATGAAAAATACAAATCTTGTAATAAATAGCATTTGGGTTTCCCTGCTGGCAGGACAACTTAAAACACTAATACAATCAGGTAGGGTACTGTTCTTTACAAAATAGAATCAAAGGCAAAGAAAGACAGAAAACTCTTCAGGGAGAACACAAATTAGCATGCTTCTGAATTTAGAAACATTTCATAATTTAAGGCAAGATTGAAGTTTTTTATTACAGGAAATGAACTATATTTGAGACATTTATGATCCACATGCTCATTTTATCCTGAATAAAATGATTACTAACTGTGCTCAGATGTATTCTAGTACATCTGATTTAAGAAGAGCCTCTATATCCTGATGCAAGGAACACACTGCTTAAAAACTTTGTGAAATACACAATTTTTACGTTTGGAAGGAGTAAGAGATCATCTAATTCTGCTTCACAGCTGTAAAAATAAGAAAAGCAAGGATGGACCTAATGTTTCTATATTTAGACTCATATATTGGCTTAATTGGGTAATGTTTAACTTTCTCTTCCATTTTAAGTTTTTTAAAAAATTCACTAGAATTGCAACGACTGAATTTTAATTTTTCAATATGTTTATCCATGTGATGACTGTTCACCACATGCAATTTTGTTTATGTAAGAACACCATCTACAAAGATCCTAACAATATGGTACCATTAACGAATAATGCATATTTAATTATTTTTTTCTCTACTAGTTTCACTTTAAAACTGAAGAATTTAATCACATATATCCAGGTTTCTGAAATATGGCAATCTTTACTACTGGAAATCATATTTTGATTAACTAAAATAGTCTCTTAATTGCACAGTATTTAGAGACAAAGTTCATTGAAATCTGGGTCATCTAACAGTCCTTTCTTCACTAACTCCTCTGTTTTCATTCAACCCACAGATAGTTGTTGAACACATACTGTATGCCAGCCCTGTTACAAGTTTCTAGACCAGACCTTTAAGATCTTAAGCAAACTCATGCATAGGTGTAACTGAAAGAGAAGGAAAAGATAATTTGCAAGTGATTTAATTTGTAACTATTTTCTTTACCTTTTCACTGTTGGATTTTAAGTCACTTTGAAGGAAGAAAATTAAAAACAGGGAGATGCTGGGGCTCCAATATACAATTCAGACCTTTTAAAGTTAATTGTCTTGACTGGTGTCCTTCCCTGCCCAAGTAAATAGCAAGCCACTGGTTGCTTCTTTAGAGTGACTCTTTTGCTCAGCTGGCTAACAATGAAATATTACCAAATGTTTTCTTCTGAAAGAAAGCGATATTGAAAAACAGAGAAGTACCTGGGATTTAGGGGGCAGGTCAATTTCAAAAGTGAGTAACAAGGAGGAAAATGTACGCTACCTATAAGAAATTAAATATCAATAAATGAATAAATTAAGCTTAATGAAACATCATGCACTCTTTCTAGATGTCATATACAAATATCTAAAGATGACTCCTCCGGGGGAAGAACACAGCACCTAGTAAGTGTTGTCATGTTTTATCTTTGGCTTACCTCAGCTATAGGATAGCAAAACCTATTGTGTTAAGCATTTGTATCTCTTGATGCTTCTAGGTAATTGCTTTCTAAACAAGGAGGGATAGTTAATGGTGTGCGTGTGTGTGTGTGTGTGTACACACTCTTGTGTGCACCTCTAAAGTGGAGAAATTATTTATAAAGTATTTAATACTCAAAATTCTAGTCCAGCCGATTTAAGACGTTCACAAAAAGAATAACTGAAAAACACATGACTCATCATGAGTTAGAGATAAAATAGGGTTACATATTTGGACTTTTGCAGAAGTTAGATTAACTAAATTTCTACTTCCACATGATATGAGGCCTAGTTTACTAAATTACATTAACATATAATTCATTCCACCTTTCACTATATGAATTTCCTACAGTGTATAGTTTAATCAATGTTTCCTAAGTACAATTATAATTCAGATTAAGTCCAGAGGTTCAATATACACTATTTTATATAGGTCATCAAACACATTTTAAAATCTAGTAGGAATTTTGAAAATCATATTCTGTCCCTAGTACAAGTTCATGAGTGCAAATTTAAATGAATGAAAATGACTCCTTAAAAACTATTTAATTGTACTTTGATGCATCATAAACTAGCTTTATATTATTTATACTTCTGAAGATAATTAAACTGCATGAAGAAGAGAGGTACATAATAGATTTAAAACCTCATTTTATGAATAAATTTTAGAATACTCTGATGAAATATGTAAAATGTCATTATTTTCACACTAACGTTTGATTTTTTTATCACAAAATATATTTTTCATATCAATTATTAATCATACATATATCATCTCAAAATATGCAATTTATCCAAATACTCTATTTCTTATGATGTTTATAGTTGAAAAATAGGCCTTTGCTTTACAATATTTAAAAGTGAAATTATTTACTAAGTCAATATAAAAAGAACCATTCAAAGAACCTCATTAAACATAAGCTAAGAGCCTAAGCTTCTATATGATAAAAGATATTTAAAAAATACGAGTTATAAAATTATCTGAAGAAGCAAGTTCATATCTCTAAGAACCATTTCTAGTCTCCCACCCACTTGAGTAAACATTCTAGAATTAATGAAAATGACGCCAACATGCAGGTAAGAAGAAATAAACAAGCTGTGTTTAAATTACTTCTCTCTTACTTATCTCTTATTTGGCTTTTTACATTCTAGTCAATCTTCTCTTAATATGTTGTGGCTATAAAAGCAAATCTACAAATGCCAAAGATGAGCCATCCACGCCTTTATATAGAAGGGAAAAACTGTGACGCTTAGTGAAATCAAAGTGATTTGATAGTTTATCTCACCTATAATAAAGTTGATTTGATAAGGAAATATGCTTAAGTAAGGGCTATGCAATTATCTAGGAATTTATCATTTTTCATATCCTTTCCCATGTTTTCTGATTTGAGTTCTACATCTTGTTGAATAGGCAGGTCAGATAAAATTAACACCTTTTTATTATTATTTTTTTTTTCTGAAGAAATTTAGGCTCAGGGCCTTGCCTAAGTGAACAAGTTAAAATTCGGATGTAGTACTCCTATTCCTCTACTTTATATTTCCAAGATGGAAATATCCACATCTAAAGTTGATAGAAACATTCTATTGAATCATAAAACCTCACATAGCCCTCAGAAGCCAAAATTAATTTGAAAAGTTTTTCACTGTAATTGCAATCTGATTTTATTTTGAAAAGCCCAAAGAAATAATCTTTAACCAATCATTTAACTTAATTGAATCCTTAATCTTAATTTACTTATCTGAAATGTGATAAATTAAAGGATTTTCTTGATTTTTGATATTAGGAATTTAATTGCTCCCAAATTTAAAAGGAAAAACTATTTTGACTTCATTCCTGACAAATTTATTACTAGTTCTGATTTTATTACAATAAGTAATAAGCATTATAATAGATGAATAGCCAAAGAGTGGGGGAACCATAATTACAATTATTAGCACTCTGAGCTCTAACAGGAAGTCCAACATCACTTTAAATGTTTTAATTCTATTGTACTCTTGCATTTTTCTCAAGCATACTCTAGAATGATGTATTTATGATATAGCTGTATAAAATAAAATAAATAAAATAAAATAAAATGCATTACTTATAACATTCTGATTTTTATTTTTATTTATTTTTATTTATTTATTTATTTTTTTTTTTAGCATTCTGATTTTTAATACTGAGATTTCAGACCTCTTGGGAGAATCAGTTGCTGAAGTCATAACTTAATCTCAATTTACTTTTGGTGTTTTTCTCCTTTTAAGTTTTACATATTATTTTTTAAGCATTAGAAGTTGTTTTTGCATAAATAGATTTATGTCACCTCTATTCTTTAAATTTTGATCAGTCAAGTGGTGATAAAAACCACAAATCAAACAAAAATGTCTACCAGTTGCCCCAGATCATTTCCTCATTCCCAATAATCTTCAGCATTTTCCCTGATTTAATTAAGAAGTCTGTGGAGTTTTCCTGTTCTGAACTTATACTCAAAGTTTAGTTATACAAAAGAATAAAAACCAAGATTGCTGCCTCACATTCTCCCTGGCACAGAAAAACATGCAAGGACAGTGATAGAGAGCAATAGATTTAACAGTTATTGTCTTCCTCCTGTCTGAATCCAGTGCTTTCCTCCTCATGTTGTTGTCTTTCTAAAGAAGATAATGTCAACCTCCTTCATTTTTTTTTACCTTGCTCCACTGTCTTGGTTGTTTTCTCTTCCTTCTTTCCAGGTACAGCTGCAAAGCAGAGATAAGGTTTAAATAAAAGTTCCAGGTGGAAATGCTGCTTCTGCTCAAAAAAGCATTTTGTAACTCATTCATTGCCAGCTCTTTCTTCAAAACAAGCTGTTTTTAAGCTTTTCAACATTTCTCATTTCTCTATAAACCAACTGAAACATATTTTAAATCTAATGTTAGAGAATTAGAGAAAAAATAAATATTTCCTTGCCTACTTCTGACTAGTTTTCCATACTCTTTTCTACCTTCTTTTATATTCTGTTTTGATAAACAAGCTCTACTAAGAATTCTACTTGACAGTAGATTATGATTAATTGACTCACAATTCCGGTTATTGCTGGGGTTACATTCAGTGTCTTGAAAACGTCAACTACATATTCTTTTAAATTGATACTTAACTTAGCTTAATCAACTGAAAGAACAGTGTGGTCATGCTTGAGATTCATCTAAATATTAAAGTCATCCCACATAACAAGTAACCAAAAAAAAAAAAAAAAAGAATAAGATTACCATTTAGGTGCTGTTTAATATGAACTATGCTTTCTCTAAGATTTATTGCTCTCAGTGGAGCATTCACTGTTAGTTTCATACATCAAAACTAAAAATTATTCATACAAAATCAATATACCCCACTGAAATAACTGACTCAAGCAAGGATCTTCAGAGGACACTAGCAGGATGGATGGGGAACTGAATATTGCCATCACACCCAAGTATCTTCCCACAGAGTTGCAAGGGGAAAAATGCAGCTTTGAAATGGAGCAATGTGATTGTTACCAATTTAATCACAGATGAAACCTAGAACCATTCATTCAGACTATATGTGTGTTTATATATTTATACATATAATATATAATTTATAATATATATATATATATATAAAATTGCCTTCTGAAGTATTCCTGCCAAAGCATCCAACTGTAATCCAGTTGAGCCAAAGATTCATCTTTCAGTTTAATCAAATACAAGATATAAAACATATTGAATAATATTCTGAAGAAATCATCAAAGCAATCAAATTTGTCTACATCATAATCGGCCATGATCTATTAAAAAACAAAACAAAACAATACAATTTCATGAACCAGAGAAAGGAGGAGAGGGTAGCACAAGTTTTTTTACAGAAAGCTTGCTAAATTTACTCATTAGTTATAATAGTTCATCTGTAAATCCTTTGGAATGTTTCAAGTAATTAATAATTTCATCTGTAACTAATGCTTTATTTCTTTTCTATTTTTATACGTATTATTTCTTTCTCTTACCTTATTGCACTGGCTAAAATTTCTAGTACAATGCATAACAGAAGTGGTAATAACAGACATTCTTGTGTCATTCTAATTCTCAGATGGAAATCTCCCCATTTTTCTCTGTTGAGTATGATATTTGCTAATGGTTTTTATATATCTTACCAGATTAAGGAAATTTCTTTCTACTCTAGTGATGAATTATATCAAACGGATCTACTATGATGAATGTAATTTCCCTTTATTCTATTATTCTGGTTGATTACAATGTCTTTTTTGTCAAATTACATTCCTCAAATAAAGCCAACCTTATTACATTTTATCTTTCATGCATATTACCAGACATGATCTGCTAATATTTTGTTTGGTCTATGCCTCTATCTTCACAAAAGAAGTTAGCTTGTATGTTTCCTTTCTTGTTTAGTTCTTATTAGGTTTTCCAGCAAGGTTATTTTAGCTCCGTAAAATAAGTGAATGCTTCCTCTTTTTCTATTTCTGGAAGGTTGAGGGAAAGATTAGTACTAATTTTTCCTTAAGTGTTTGAAAGAACTCACCGGTAAAGCCATCTGGCTAGAATTTTCTTTGGGGAAGTATTATAGTTAGAGATTCAAAATATGAATTTCATTAAAATTTTCAGATTTATTGGAAAATGTTTCTATTTTTAATTGTCTGTAGGATCTGTAATGATGCCTCCCTTTAATTTTCTGATATTGATGTTTTGTGCCTTCTCTCTTTTTTCTTAATAAGTTTTCATAAGAGCCTATCAATTTTATTAGGTTTTCTGGAGAATCTAATTTTGACTTCTTTTCTTTCCCTATTGTACAATTTATTACTTCATTAGCTTTTATTATTACATTTTTATTTCTCTTCCTTCTACTTTCTTTGGGTTTAATTATCTGTGTTAAAAATATTGGCTTTATAGATATTCAATTTTCAGCCTTTCTTCTTCTCTAATGAATAATTTTATTTTTTTAAAGATTTTATTTATTTATTCATGATAGACACGGGGAGGGGGGAGAGAGAGAGAGAGGCAGAGACACAGGCAGAGGGAGAAGCAGGTTCCATGTAGGGAGCCCGACGTGGGACCTGATCCCGGGACCCCAGGATCACGCCCTGGGCCGAAGGCAGGTGCTAAACCACTGGACCACTCAGGGATCCCCTCTAATGAACAATTTTAAAGAGCATAAACTTTATGCAAGCATTGTTTAGTTGCACCCCAATATTCAATGTAATGTTTTCATCATATATAGATCAACATATTTCCAAATTTTACTGTCATTTTTTTCTTTGCTACATGGGATATTTAAACATGTATTGCTTACATTTATTACAGTATCTCAGTATCTGACATTGTTTCTAACATAGTAGATGATTAATATATTTTTGCTTAGTAATTAAGTGTATTAGTTGACAAATAATATGTGTCAATATTAGTTGAGAAGGAAAATGAGTAAGCTTTGGTGTTAGTGATTTTTCCAGAATAGGATTAATTTTAGGTGTAGTCAATAAGATGTGAAGAAAGACAAAGGAACAGGAAAGCCTTAAGTATGCCTAGAGAAAAGTGAACAAGTTTAGCTGAAGGAGAGTATTCCCATAGAGGAGATATGGAATAATTTAAAATAGAATGAGGCCAATTACAGAAGGACTTGAATTCCAAACTAGAGTCAAACTTTACTACACATACTTTACATAAAGGAGCAAGTAAGATGTGTGGTACATTAATGGAAATGAAACACTGATAATTTGTAATTATAATAAAACTCATGGGTATAAAGTCTTATTCATAATTATTTCATCCAGACGACTCATTATACATATGGTATAGCAAATATGTACTTTTCAGTTTATTTTATCTTGATCTTCTGAAAAGTAAATACCTCACAATAAATAATTTGAATGTGACTTACACACAAAGACCAAGTTTTCTTTTCAACGATGGGTTCTGCATTCATATTAAATAGAGAAGGATAGTCCCCTAAAGCACTGTTTTTTGTTGCTGTTACTCAGAAAAGGTCACTGAAAATACTGATTATCTGTACAGAAAAGAACACATTTTGCATGAAATTATAGATCCTTTCATTTCTACTTCTGATGTAAAATTCATCAAGCCTAATTCTATAGGGAGTAAAGTTTAGAAATACATAGCTCATGTAATTAAGTGGATTTTCTAACTACCTGGACAAAAGAAGACCTCAGTCAATTTCTCTTTCTATGCTACAGAGTACTTGAAATCTCCTTTGGTGCTAAGAGAAATTCTCTTTTCTCTACATTTGGAAGGGTTTACTTTAGAAAGGGAAAGTAAATTTATATTGCACTTCTTCAGAGATTCCAACTAATATAAAGGAAACAAAGTAACTAACACTCTTTGAAAGTAATGCTTGGATTAGAGATAGTCTTGAGCTAAACTGTGAAAGAGAAGTTGATTTCTGTAGTTTCAGGCTTTTATTTCATTATTCTTCTCCTCAATTTTCTTTAGGGACTTAATTCTCCAATACAATGCAATCTCTTTTCTTGACCCTCATCACTCTTGAAGGCCCTGATGTGTTAACATTAGCAGTAGGTTTTTACCTAAGCCGTGAGGCTTACTTGGAGATGGGGGTATGTTAGAATCCTGGTAAAGAAATGAGGAGTGTTAGGAAAGTATTTACAGTTTGAAATGTTCCCCACATGATATTTATATATTATTTCTGGGATGTAGACCTACAGCCTTAGTATGATACACTATTATTTCCAAGAAAATAAGAATGTAATGATTATCTGTCCAAGGGTTATTCAGATTTTAAAGGTACAGCCTGGGGATATCAATGACTAAACAATGGGATAAATCATTAATCGTAGAAGAAACAGTCTTACATCTTGGATATAAGGGTCCTTGGATATGTATTATGGTGGAGAGACAGGAAAGAGAGGCTTCTCACCAATTCTTAGATAATGCTAACTAATCAATGTATTCATAAGATCATCCTCCTGCTTTCAAGTTGATGTATTTCACAAAGAGACAATATAAAATGAAAAGTTTAGAGTATTAATAATGGAATCTGGGAACATCAATAATTTAAGAGTCAGTAAAGAAAAAAAAAAAACACAAACACAGCCAGAAATAAAAGGTCAAATGATAGTGAGCAGAACCAGGAGACTATGTCGTCACGATAGGCCAACAAAAGAGAAGCTTAGAGAAGAGACAAAGTGGTAAAAAACAACTGAGAAACCTAGTAATATGAGTACTGAAATGGTTCCTTTGGTTTAGCACTGATAACATTATCAGCATTATCAAGAGCGTCAATAGCACAGTAGAGACAGAAGGCTCATCCTTGGGGAGATGAGAAGCAGTACTAGTGCTTCAGTATCCAGAAAACTGATAAAATGTGGGGAGAAAATGGTAGAGAGAGAAATAATAATCAAGAAAAAGGAGTTTTGAAGTTGAGAATATTTCCAAAATGAGGAACAAAATCGATAACAAGAAAGAGGATGATACTACAAAAGAGCATGGATGCTTGGTTAAGAAGGATACAACTGGAGAAGTTGGTCTTAAAAGAAGGATTAACACTTTACCTGTGAGATCAAAAGGGAGATGGCTTTAGATTAAACAACAAAATCGAGCTACTAACCTTTTTCTCCTTTTATTTCGAGCCATTTTCTTCATCTTAATTGCCTGTTATCTTTCACTTCCTCTTCCTTCAATCAATTTGGCATAAAGGCTTTCAAGTGTGCCATTCCCTGAAAATTCTTTTATTTTTTGATTTTTTAAAAATATTTTTTATTGATTTCTTTGACAGAGAGAGAAGAGAGAGAGAGAACAAGCAAGGGGAGCAGCAGAGAGGGAGAAGTAGGCTCCCCGTTGAGCAGGGAGCCTGATGTGGGACTTGATCCCAGGATCCTAGGATCATGACCTGAGCCACCCGGAGAATTCTCTTTTAAAAATCATGAATAATTATCCACTTGCCAAATGACATGATGACCTCTACCTTGTCACCAGAATGGTTTCTTTTCTATGGTTACTATCACATTATAAATAATTACATCTATTTTTCTTTTAATCTTTCTATTCACTTTTTCCTTTTTTTTTTCTTTGACTTTCCTTGCCCTCATTCCTCCAAATGTACATGTTCCCTAGCATTCCACCCCAGCCCTGTTCTTTCTCTAGGCCATCTCTTCATGACAAGCTCACAGACTTTTACTGTTTCCACCATTAACCCACCTATATATCTGCAGTCTTGCCATTGTCTGGAGCTCTAGTTTTACATTTAGAGCCTTCTATGTGATGTCACTTGCATATGCTACTAGCACTTTGATTTAAATATATCTAAAATAAACCTTTTCTTCCCTCCCTAAACTACTTCTCATCTTCCTTCTTAATTTTTATAATAATATCAACAATATTCTTGTAGCACCCAGTCTGAAAACTTACTATTGTCATTAAGTCATTTCTTTTTTCTTCCCTCCCAAAGCTGGTAAGTTGTCAAATTCTATTAATATCCCTCTTTTGCAACCTCATAATTAATACCAGGTCCTACTACATGTCATCTACATTATTATATCATAACTACACTGTCTCTTCCTAAAGTAAATGTCTGAGTGTTATTCCTATATTTAAAATTTTCATTAATTCCCTAATGCCCATGGAGTAGTGTCCAATTCTTAAATCAGGGCATTTTACAACATTATTAGCCCTGGTTGTATTAATTCATACCATGTTCCTGAGACCCTTGTTGTTCCTCATATACATCCTACCATTTCCCACCACTTTGCCTTGTTCTCAAGATACCCTTCCAACTAATGATTACATAACAAAATTCTGTTATTTAAGACTTAGCTCCAAAGTCACCTTATATAATAATGTGACTTTGCTTTTCCCCAGGTAAGAAAAAATTTTAAACTCCTATGGAAATTTATCTGTATTAATCTCTTTACCCTCTTGGCTTTGAACCATGTACTATAATTACATAAAAAACTTTTAGATGATACCAAAAATTGAGGCCCAAACAACTTAGATTCCTATTTTTTGATATTTTTAATTGCTCAAAAACAATATTAACATATATATTTTCCCTTAATTATGTTTCTAGTATGTGAACCATAAATAGATGTTAAATGAAAGTGGACATGATTTGAATGCTGCAAAAACAAATTTAAATTAGTAGGATGATATATTGAAAATTAAATACTATATATCCCCTGAAAATATGACTTAATAGTAGGCTTAAGATCAAACAATTCATACTAGATATATAAGTTGGCACACTGAAATTAATTTAAAATATTAAGTTCTTTTAACTGTGAAAATTTTAAAGCAAGCACAAAATCAGTAATTTCCACTTAACGTTGCTATATAATTCCTAGTTCAAACCTCAATGTAGAAGAACAATTTACAATGTTTTGAAACCAAAAATAATTCTTAAATAACTTTCTTATTCTACTTAGTTTTGAAAGACTAGAAGTTGAATCTTGCAAAATATGCTAAGTATTGTGGAGATTAGGGTCTGGCTACTAAATGCATGATGAAACCACATGTATTTTCATGTATGATCGGTTGTCAGTGAGAGGGTAGAGGACAGGAAAACTACTTGACAAATGAGGAGTCTTTTTTTTTTTCTTGTAACTTGTTAAAGTGGTAAAGCGGTACCTGAATTTCAAAATATTTATGACAGCTTTGGAAAGAACACTTGTTTCTGTTCATACTGTAGTTGCAGGCAGATTTAATGTGCAGAGTCAGTCAGTCAGTTATTATTTATTTATTTATTTATTTATTTATTTATTTATTTATTTATAAGATTTTCTTTATTTACTCATGAGAGACACAGAAAGAGGCAGAGACCTAGGCAGAGGGAGAATCAGGCTCCCTGCGGGGATCCCAGGACCCCAGGATCATGCTCTTAGCCAAAGGCAGATGCTCAACTGCTGAGTCACCCAGGCGTTCCTGCAGAATCATATTTAAGTTAAGAATTGAAGTGTGATATCTAAGACTAACTAGAAGCAGAGTAGTTGGAGCCAGCAGTTTATTTTCATTAAAAGTTTAGTTCTCCTCTTTCATTCTACTGTAAATCTACCAGTCAAGTCTACTTAACCCCAACCAAAATATTGGCTTTACTCTAAACTCAGGGACCATTCTTGGCTGAAGATCCCAATGAGTTCACTAAGTGATAGTTCAATCTCAATTCAGCATCTTTGCTCACTTCCATTTGATCTGATTGGACTCCAAACTATGTGTGCTAGTATTTCTACCCTAAATATCCAGGCTCCAAGTGATTCAGAATCTGTGCAGGGCTCAGTTACTAGTATTTAAATCTTTCCTTCTTACTTAACTCTGTCTCCAGATTGTCTTTCATAATCAAGAATTCCCTAAGTTTCAGTATCTGAAATCTAATTCCATATGAACCCCAAATAACTGCTATTTGGACACCCCACTGGCCTCATGATTGGCTACTAATTTTGAAACACAACTTTGCCTCACTTTTGTTCTTGCTTTTAACACATATCAATTTCCTGGCCTCATATTCACTTAACTGAGCCTAGTTTAATGACTTTCTCTGAATTTGTATTTAGACCTTTAGCCATTTCATGGTATGAAGGCATTAGCTCACATTCCACTTAATGCCAACAAGGAAAATTGATTTGAAAAAAAGACAACTTGAAAGAATGTGAGACATTAATGCGGACTTTGATGAATTTATGACTCTATCACTTAGGACACATTTATATCTAGCAGAAGATATCAATATAACATGTACTGTAATCACTTATGAAAAATGGTACCACAAATATTAGGTTATTAGAAAAGATATAGTTAGGATTTAATTTTAATAACTCTAGCTTCTAATAATTACCTTACAAAAATTTATATTTTTTTTCTTTAAATATTCTTTATCTAATCTAATTTTTGTCTTATCTTATGTATCTATACTACCTTATTCATTAATTTATGTGTTAATGGAATATCTATCTTAGTTTATATTATAATTTATCAACTAATACATAAATCTATATTGTGTTAATTTATATCCATGTATACATTTATATTCATATATATGTATATAAGTTGCTTGGCATTGAGAATGTGGATGTATGCTATGTACAATTTATATCTCCCTAGAGTTCTGATATGTATTCTCCCTATAAAGTACATGCAATAAGAGAGTGTTTTAGGAGAAAAATGGAATGCTGTTTTAGTGGGGTATGTGTGAAAAGGTATCTGTGGAGGTATGTGCCTGCGTGTATGTGAGGTTGTTAAATGGTCTCTTGAGATGCTTCTAACAACATTGGATATATTACTGATTTCATTTCTATCTGCAAAACAGAATCACATATTTTATTTTATTTTTCATTTTTTTTTTATTTTTTAAAGACTTGATTTCTTTATTCATGAGAGACACAGAGAGAGGCAGAGACATAGGCAGAGGGAGAGGCAGGCTCCATGCAGGGAGGGAGCCTGATGTAGGACTTGATCCTGGAACTTCAGATTCACACCCTGAGCCAAAGGCCAACGCTCAACCACTGAACCACCCAGGAGTCCCAATCCAGTGTATTTTGAATTGGAAATATGTCAAACTTCTAATCATGATGATTAATTTTAATGTATAGTAATGTTCTCAAAAAATATTATTTTTAATGTCTCCTAAAGGGAGTCAATATTCATGTAAGCAGTTGCCTCTGATTCAACATGGTTAAGAGAAATAACTGAAAACTTAAATTCCAAACTTTCTAATATTTCTTAAAGCAAAATGTCCCCAAGTGAGCATTTCAAGAAGCACATTTTCTAATCTAATATTATTCAAGCACAAAGTGAGCATTGTTCATGTAAGATCTCCTACTCCAAGTTTCATTTGTTCAAGCCCTGTCTTCCTAAGGGAGTATATTGAATTTGAATGCTCTTCAGATGATTGGGATCCTGTTGAGCTTAAATAGCAGCATTTTTCCATTTTTAAAAAACTAACTTGCAACTGTACTATAATTACTGGTTTTAGTTTATCACCCTAAAGGAATGAAACCTTTGGAACTAGAACACTGAAGACAAAACCTTGTTAGCACGGATACCATAAATCTTGTGCAAAGTGGGTCTGTTTCTGTATCAATGAAATAGTATAATCAATAAAGAGAGCTCTTCTATAAGCATTGAACAAGACATTAAGTTAGAAACTTTAGCAGAAATAAGCTATAGCCATAGCATCTTTTTCTTTACTCTGCATTTACCTTTTTTAGTTGAGGCAGCACCAGTCTCTTCTTTGGCTCGTTCAGTTTCTGCAAATTCAGATATTAAGGAATGAGAAATGGATATCAGAAATGCCAGGTCAATATATTATGATATTGTAAATCAGACAAGACTAAAAGTGTCCAAAAGATAAAACATGGCACCTGAGAGCAAAGCAAGCAGCAGAGAAAAACCACTCTATCAAGTACTTACATATTTTTTTAGGTAATGAACTCTCTTATCTCTCCAAGATACAACTCCATGGCATTAAATCTTAGTGCTTATGTGAGTAGTGGCCATAAAACAAGGTGGCTTATTTCACAAAATACACTGGAATACTAATTGGCTTATGCTTAAATCTAAAATGATGCATGAGTTGTAGGGAAGAGGACTTCAAAAGACTTCTTCATTTAGCCTTAATTATGGGGATGGAAAGCAGTATTTGACCTCAATCAATTAGCTTTATATTATAAAAGATTCACCCTAATATTATATAAAATTCCATTTGAATATTTCTTAGAGAGACAGAGAAAGGGAGGTGATGGAAAACAAAAGGCCCAAGTGTCTTCTTGCAGTTTCTCTGAATATCTAGTGTGGAATATAAGAGAGCTGCTTTCAAGACATAATTTGAAATGCTGGTCCTAGTACAAAATTTTGGACCTCAAATCAGTGCTAATTAAAGTTTTCTTTAGTTCAGAAGAAAATAAAGAAAAATACTAATGAACTGGTCAATATTTATAAATCTTTTTTTAAATATTTATAAATCTTGATTTACTTATTTTAATAACTTTTTGACTTTTTTATGTTATTTTATGTTATTCTCCTTAGTCACCTAAGTTTATTTTTATTCTTATTAGTATCTGAATATATCCCCCTCACTCATATACATTCAGCAGTGGAGCCTCTGGGAACAACCAAACAATAGGACTCTTCATGCCCTCTTGCCCTCCCTATGCCATAGACCTTGAATGGTGAAAAAGATCAGATGTCAAAGAAGGCCTTCACATTATGTTCAGGTTTTAATTCCAGAGTGTTAGATGCCACAAGCTTTCCAAGTTGAGTCTAGGCAAGAAGTCATGTGAGTATCCAGGCTGCCTTAAGACCCTGAGTTCAGGACTATCCAGACTCCTGGCTGTTATATACCTTCCAGGTAAAGACTTCACACCAGTGGTTCTCAACATGCATCAGAGTCACCCATGGGCTGTTAAAACACAGATGCTGAGCCCAGAGGGTTTAAGTCAGTGAGTTTGGGGCATGTCCTGAGAATTCACATTTCTAATCAATTCCCAGGTGATGCTTATGCTGCTGGTCTGGACCATAGTTTGACACTGATAACCAAACGTCCTCTTAAGACACAGTCAAGGGATCCCTGGGTGGCGCAGTGGTTTAGCGCCTGCCTTTGGCCCGGGGCGTGATCCTGGAGACCACGGATCGAATCCCATGTCGGGCTCCCCGTGCATAGAGGCTGCTTCTCCCTCTGCCTATGTCTCTGCCTCTCTCTCTCTCTCTCTCTCTCTCTCTCTCTATCATAAATAAATAAAAATTAAAAAAAAAAAAAGACACAGTCAAGACTAATTCTTCAGGGATCTCCCTCCCTTTACCTCAGTCACTACCATGAGTCCAGGCTTCCGGGGGAAAACAGAGTTTACATTTCTTTTAAAAACAGACTCTTTCCAAAGTCCTTTCCAAGTCAACTCCACCACAGTACACATGCCTGTATCCTCAGCCTCTATTCAGAACATGTGCATTGCTTTCTTCGTTTAACCACACCCTTGCCCCTTAAGGACACTGCGTCCCTGCAAGCAGTCTTCTAAAATGGAGAATGTTGGTTTTCCCATCCCCTATGGACCAAAGCTTCCGGAAGTGATGTATATATCCTCTTTGTCTCATTACTTTTCAAAGGTTGTGATCGCCTTGCTTCCTCTAAATTCCAGTTCCTTTGAAATACACACTATTAGGTTGCACCTGGCCCTATCCCTCTTTTTCATTGTCTTTAACCAGCCTTATACCCTTGCCCCATTTCTCATTGAGTATTTTTGTGCATAGTTGTCATCTTCTCCATTACTGCTGTGAGACTTGATTCAAAACAACTCTCCATCACAGTTTCCCATTAGAATAAGCGAGGGGGCTATTACGAGTCCATGACTTTCAGATGTAGTAGGCCTAAGATGGGCTATAGAGCTTGGAAAGCTTTGAGATTCTATGTCTGGGATAAGGCTGGACTATACATATACTGGAAGCCTCCCAAGACATTTAACCAGGATTGGGAGTCACTTACACACACAGTTCATATGCCCTCTTGATCTCTCATTTCCTTAGCCTCCTCTCTTCTAAAAACTGGACTCCAATTCTCTGATTGCTACCACCCACCAACCAACATACTCTTGGACTTTCCTTTTGCTGCCAAAACTTTGATCCCCCAAATCCTATTCTCTGGCACCACTGCACCATTCTTCCCTCATATCTCACTTACTCGAGAACCTTTTCCAAATAGAATCTGACTCCATCAATACTTTCATTCTTTTGATCTTACCCCTTTCTCACTCTCCAGATCTTCTTCATATCCTCACTTTAATTCTTACCAAGCTTATATTTGTATATATTTTTTCTCACTTACCAAGCTTATATTTAAATGAGCCATGGTGACATCACTCACTTAGTGTTTGCTTTTATAATCATTGGCTGCAGTGGTCTCCCAGGCTGCTTTTCAACTGTTGGGTGGCTAAAGACATCAGAAATTTATTCTTTCACCATTCGAGAGGCAATAAGTCCAAAATGAAGGTATTGTTGGGCCATCCTCTGAAGTCATTTCTGAATTCTCCTGGAAAGAATTTTTCCTTGCCTCTTCCTAGCTCCTGGTGGTTCCTGGTGACCTTTGGCATTTACTGGTTTATAGCTGCACCACCCCAGTCCCTCCTTTTGTGTTCTCATAGTTATCTTTCGTTTGTGTGTCTCTGCGTGTCTCCAAATCTCCCTCTCCTTATAAAGGTAGCTGTCACTGGATTCAGGGCCCATTCTAATCCAGTATGACCTCTTCCTAACTTGATTTTGAAATAAGGTCACATTTCAATGGTACTGACTTAAGACTCTTAACATATCCTTTGGTGGGGGCAGACACAACTCAACCCATTATGCCCCCAAACACCAAAAATACCTTATGCCTGCCACCCAAACAGCCATCCAAACTCACCCTGCTGCAGATCTCACTTGAAAGGTCTCAGTTCAATATTTAAGAGAGTGTTCAGCCCTGACCAGCAATACTAGCACAGATGTAGGGAGTTTGTTTTCTCATTCTAGACAAAAAGCCCGTGCATCCGCTCCCCTCCTCAAGCTACCAGTATCCTGCAGTGCAGAGGCAAGCTGCTAGGACAAATTCATAGACAAAGTAAAAGCAGACTACACTACCTCATATTTTCCCTACCTCACCAGCATATGCCTGTGCCATTTGTTTTCCTCCGCATCCCACAGGATGATCAGTCCCTGCCTCTATTTAATACCAGTCCAGCCTGCATCCCATCTCCTTCTGCCAAGTCAAGGCATTTTTTTCTTGCAAATATTACTGCTGTCTGCTACCTCATCAGTTTTCCACTTCAGTGATACTTGCAGACACATAATATGTCACTCTAACCACAGACAACCACATCCTTCACTTATATCTGCCCCCTACCCCAGGTGCTTATCTCTCTGTGGTCCATCATGGCCGGAGGGAGCTGCAACACAATGTCACCACTTCTGTCTTCTCATTCTCTGGGTTTTTAAAGCCTAATTAATTATGATAAATATTATAGAAATGAGAGGCAGAAAGACATACAGCATATTCACACATTTTAACAAATGGTAAGGAAAAAAGGCTTAAGAAATAAAATATTGTCAAAACTTTTGAAATCTCTTAACTCATTCCACTACCTCATGCCTTTCCTTTCATCTCAGAATCATCATTGTCCTAAATTTTGTATGAATCATTTCCTTATTTTTCAGTACAGTTTTTTATTATATGTACTTATTTTTAAATGAAGATAATTTTTATATAGACCATATTATATTCTTTAGTGTGATAGCTATAAAAATTGATTTATATTATTTAACTATTGTGATTTGCTTCTTTCAAAACATCATGTTGAGATGCAGTGTTAAAATAGTGAAAGAGGCTCTTAGGCCGGGGTAGTCTAGTGACTTTGCTAGCTTATGTAAATAAACTGAAGCCAGAATTATCTAGATTTTTCTGAGAAAACTAAAACTTAAGAACAACTATCAAGATGGCCAAATAAGTTTTCTCAATGAAATGAACATTTAAATTCGAGTCAATTAAATAATTGCTTTGCTTTGCTTCTGTGTCTCCTTAAACCTCTGCCCTAGCCTTTGACTACAGAGTACCCTAACTATTTTTCGTTTTTGGCACTGCTTGATTCAAATCATTGTTTGCTTAAACAAATTCAGTTTAACCTTTTACAGAAGCCATGTTGACATGAGGAGCTGTAGTTATCATTTTTAACTGTTGTATAGTATTCCAGTATATATATATATGTGTGTGTGTGTGTGTGTGTGTGTGTGTGTGTGTGTGTGTATTCTAATGCCTACACATCTATTCTCCTGCCAATCAACATTAGGTCACATCTGATTTTGTGCCATTATACATAATCCTGCTATGAACATTTCCACGCATGTCTCCTGGTACACATGTGCAAGAATTTTCTTAAAAGTGAAATTACTGGGTCATAGCATTTGCTCATGTTTAATTTTTCCAGATAAATGCCAGAACGTTCCCCCAAATTTTACATTCATACCGACAGTGTATGTGAGAGTTTCTATTGCTTCACGTCATTACCATTACCAGAATAATTATTTTCCTCTTTTTTGGTCAATCTGGCATGTGTACAACAGTATCTTATTGTAGAGCTTTAATTAAAATTCCAATATACTGAGACCGAATATTTTTGATATGTTTATAAATGATTTGTGGAGTTGTTTTTAATGCTTACTTAAATCTTTTTATCCACTTTTTCTACCCACTGTCTATCAAGTCATCTTGTCTTTCATTTTTATTTATTTTTTTGCTACTCATCTCTTGCTACTTATATGTGCTACAGATATATTTTCCAAGTGTGTAGTTTGTCTTTTATTAGAATTATATTCATAATATTTTGAATTCATTTAGTCAGAATTGTCTGTGATTTGGGGCGTGATCTTATAATTTACTATCCAAACTGAACAAGTGAAAGGAAGTGCTAGTAATAATTATTCTGAAATGATATGAATATGAATATGAAGATTGTTTTAACCAACTGAGATTCATGGTTATACATGTGATGCAATCTGTGTTCTATTTTTTTTAAAGATTTTATCTATTTATGCAAGAGAAACACAGAGAGAGGCAGAGACACATAAGAGGGATAAGCAAGCTGCCTGTGGGGAGCCTGATGTAGGACTCAATCCCAGGACTCCAAGATCATGACCTGAGCCAAAGGCAGAAGCTCAACCACTGAACCACTCAAGTGCTCCTAAAATCTGTGTTCTAGACACACTTTATTAACATCAGACTTATTGTTCAGGCCCATAGATATTTCCCCCAGGAACTTCCATGACAGAGTATGTAATTGAATCCCAAAAGCCATGCCACCTTTTTGACTAATATAAATTGTCCCCAAGTACTCTTCTAATATCATATAACTAATGAAATTCAAAGGACTTTTTATCCCCTTTTTATAAAAAGTAATCTCTGCATCCAATATGGGGTTCAAACTCACCAACCCAAGATCAAGAGTCACATGCTCCGCTGACTGAACCAGCCAGGTGCCCCAAAGGGACTTTATCTTAAAATTCTGTATACTGCTTCTCCTGAAGAATCTTGACATGCATTAGTAGATTAACTGATAGACTCACATGTTTAGGTACTGAAATGTAGTTAAGTGATAGACATAGGCTTGGTGGCCGAGCATATCACAAATCTATTGCGGTACTAATATCCAAGGGAAGAAAAATGCCTGATTATTGCCATTTCAAGTAAATTTAAACCCACAATTTAAAATGGCTAGCCTTTGGTCCTGATCTGGTCTTTGGAGACTTTTTTTGCTCAAAATTCAAACTGACCAGAGACTGAGAGAATATGCACATGGAATGCATGATCAAAGCCCTGTGGTCCTTGATATAAAGAAGGAAGTAATGAATAGCAGTGTTTCTCAAGGTCTTGAGGCACACTGGTCACTGAATTGTCCTTGGGGGAAAAAAGGATACGATGTAGTCAAACACATTTGCTAATCCTTGACTACTGCATTCCTTCCTGAAGATTCACCAAGGAGAATGATAAAGATCTGAAATGACCTAGGGCTTACAAAATCTGCTTGTTTCATCTTCTTCCTGCTTGGAAATGGAAATGTCATAGTGTCAGCTTCTGTGTTGCTATCCAGTGTGTGGGAAAGCAGGGACAGTGGGCTGCAGAGAAGGGAACTGGGTGTGTTGAGACATTTTTGTATGTCCTATGATAGATGGATTTGTGTTAACTTGCAGAAATTGTAAATCTAGGTTTGGCATGTCTGCTTGGTCCCAGCCAGTCTTCATCCATTCACAGAATTGCTAACACATAACTCTGTATGTGGAGGTATTAAGTGCTGCTCCACAGCACGACATCATTGAACCTGAAAGATTTCCCTTTCCTTGAAGCTCATGGTACCATGACAACTGACACCCTGAACTGATACAGCTCCTGGGTTTGTCTGTGTCCTCCAGTATTTTTCATACAGTAATTTTGATTTCCTCAGAACCCAGAAGAAATGGTTCCAACCTAATTGACATTCTAGTTATTTCCTTGAATGAAGTGCTAATGCCAAATTACCTTGCAGTTGTATCATATAAATACTTAATTTACCTTAATTTAGCTATACATCTCACTCTCATTTGTTCTCATAATTTAAGATACTGTAAAATCATATCCCAAATGTTTAGGTTATATACACAAAACTATGTGCTCATATATGGTGATTTTAGGAATTTTCAAGAGTATTTTTAATGATATGCAACCTTTACATTGGCAATAACTTTACAAAAAGGCCCATTGTACATAGCAGATGTGAAAAAAATTCTTCTGTTGTATAGTTTCAAGACTAAAAGGCAACTTTTACTTGAAGAAATAGATGTTCATGTTGTTAATAGAGAATTTAAACAATTTATGTATTATCTCTAAATTTTTTTATTGAGGGATAATGCTTCTGTTAAGTCTAAATCTCTCAACCATGTGAAGAGTTGAGTATTAATTCTTTTGAAACTTTTATAATGGGCCTAAGATGATTTAGCAACTCAATTTGCTAATTTCCTGCAAAAGATGCTGATCTCTTCAAAACTTGATTGGATGGTGTGTTTCATAGACAGCAGAACTTACAGGGTTGTTTTACTGCAAATCAACATTTTTATCTATATGTCGTATTTTTCTAGGAAGAAAGTGTTCATTTTTAGCATAATCTTCAATCTTAAGTTCTCTACCAGTGCTGCAAAATTATCAGTTTTGTTTTATATATTTTCTTGATGATGCATTTCTACAAAGTATTAACATACTGAGGATTCCAAAATATAAAGTTCCAATCAGCTTTACATTCAACTAAAATTTTTCATGAAAATACAAATGAAATTTTAGATTCATGTTACACCTCTCAAAGTCTAGAATGTCTATGTAAATACCTCCAACTCTAATTTTTTAAAAGTACCTACCCAGTTACTCAAAATAATATTTTCTAATTTTTATCTGATATATCCACCAATGATATACTCTATCTCAAATCCTGGCACTAAATAAAACACACATTTGTTTTATGTATTAGTACCATCATTAATACCTATGGAGCTCCAAACCAAATGAAAAATATTATTGTATTTACATCATGCATAAAACTGAGATTTGACCATAATCTTAGAAAAGCTTAGAAGTCATTACACCTAAAATAATTTTCATTAGTGACAATCTGTTAGGTACTTCACCTAATTCAGAAAAACTATCAAAGAAACCAGCATTTTTTCCTAAGCATATTGTCAAACTTAATATGGATGCAAATGCCATGGTATCAATTCTCTGTCAGTATTCATAATCTGAAGATATAAACCTTAGAAGGAAATTATGACATTACATGAACAGTAGTTAAAATTATTAGGGGTTTCATTTCATTCAAGACACAATGGATTTCACTGGTATTCAAATTGTGTTGCCTACTGGTGTGGTCAAGTGATTAATCGTTAGGAAAATTAAGTCTGATGTGCTTAAGAAACTGAAGAGATCATTTATTCATCAAAATAAAAAATAAAAATACAAACTACTCAGAAAGGAGTTATGATATGGACAAATTAACATCTCCAAATGAAAATAAATTTTAAGAAGAATAAATTGATAAAAAAGAAAAGGTTGAATAATTATGTATATTAGTTCAACAAATATTAATAGCAAGAAACATTTGGTAAGCCAGCCTCGAAAATTAGCATTAGCCTTGTCTATAGCAAAAAACTTAAATTAGTAAGCTGCTGAAATATGCTCTTTTCGTTTTTTTTTTTTTTAATTTTATTCAACATACTTGCTTTTACTTGTTTTTCACTTGGAGCTGTTAAAGACAAGAAACAAGAAGATCTAAATTAATTACAAGTCCACAGTCTCTTTCTCAAATAGTTTTAAGGTTATTTATTTTTTTAAAGATTGTATTATAACCTTGGAAACTAAGGAAAAACACTGGTCTCAGAAGGAGAAAATACAACACTGTGACATTTTCTTTGATATACTATAAATACATGCCATGAACCACAGATTTTTTTATACTTATATATCTTCTCCCAGCACAGAATGCTCATTCACAACTTATTCATTTTGGTTTTTTTTCAATTAGCTAAGGATTTGATTGTTTTTATATACAAGCCAGTGCATTTTCCTTAAAATCATAGGAAAAGAACGACATGAATTGATAAATTATCCGATGGTTTCAATTGTTAAAATAGAGGTAATTACTGCCACACTGCTACCCTGTAATCATACTCTGAAATAAACAGATAATGATTTCAAGCAATTTAAGTTATTGTATTTTGTCATGTTTAATATTAGACAATAATAGTTAGCTATTTATTAATATTCTTGAAACTGATTATACACATAGTCATTCTGAATGTTTCTCCATGTTTATGTGTTTCTATGATATATACTCTATTTTAGTTTTCTGCATATATGCATAAATGAGAATATGTGTTTGGCCCACCTGTGAGAATGTTACTCACAAATGAACAATCTCTGTTCTCTGTAAGGTAGACAAAAGCATTCCTTCCCAAAGGATAAATAATATCAATGTTAATGTGAAATGATGAAATGTGATTATTTATTTCATCTTGGAAAATATTTAAAAGTCATTCCCTTTTATTTTTTTTAATGTGGTTATTCTATTTGGTATTTTTCCTTTCATTTAATAAACCATTATCAAGTGCCTACAGTATGTATGCCTGGCATTATAATAGGCACTCTAATTTCGGACTCTTTAAAATGGAAACAAGAAAAGGTAATGTGATTATAACAGTATTGTAAGTGCCTATTATAAAGAAAAAAGGATGATGCTATGGGAACTAGTTGGAGAAAAAAACTAAATGGATTTGCGTTGTCTGTCTGAGGAAGTTTCACACTTAGAAGAATAAGAAATGGAGCTTTGAACCTGTGGTTTGCTGTAGTCTGTGGCAGGCGTGGGGGTGGGGTAGGAAATAGTTGAGTTAAATTTGTGTGGTTGGTTATTTACATAACACTGGGTAAATGCAATTTCCATTTAAATACAATAAAATGGGAAGACAACCAATGGACATTAAATTGATCTATGACATATATACCCACAAAGGAAAATTTGGTGACGTTGTTCGTTGAGTAAAATTTGAAGGCAAAATCGACACGTAGTATTTTAAAATAAAGTCAGTAAAATAGGTTTAGAAAGTTGCATTTATTTTAATTTGAAATAACTGATAGGGCAAGCTAAATGCTAGAAACCTTTAAGAAAGCCATTTGGAATCCACACCAACAGCATTCTTAGATATATTTTGCTTGTATGTGTGTTTTACTGATGGTCTGATTCTCAATTCAATTTTCTTCCATTAGAATATAAATATATTGAGGGCAAAATCTGCCTCTACTTTCGTTGCAGCTCCCTTGAGTACTCAAGGAATGTCATTAAGTAATGTTTTGAATAGGGCGAGAATATTTGCTGGAATTGAATATTCCATATTTTACAAGTAAAGCAATATTGGATGCATTTACAGAAAGTGGGTTTTTTTTCTTGTTTTGTTTTGTTTTTGTTATTTTACACTCAACTGTGCTTCTCGCACACTGCTCTGACAAATTCACGGGAGGTGTTAGGAAGTTAGGAATTCTGATTCAGTCACTCCCTGATGAAGCCAAAGACACTGTATTTCTAACAACCTGATGCTGCTCGTTCACAGAACACTCACTGGACAGCAAGAGTCTAACATATTATTTGGCTTCTGTTTTCTGAAACTACATCGATATTAACTCAATGTCATGAATTTTAAGTAAAGACCATGGGATGAAGGGATTTTCTGCCTTTTCTTGGCATGGTCCTTACCACCTGTCTGAGGCTGCAGTATTAATAAATATGGGACATCAGGTAGGAAGAATCCAGGAACATGAATCTAACTCACCTGAATGTTCCTTCTTTGACGACTTTGCTGCATCAAACAAAAGAAAAGGAAAAAGTCAACATTCTAAGCCATTCTATCACAATTCAGTATTCAATTACAAATTAGTAAAATGAAAGTAAGATAGAGGAATTTAAAAACAGTTACCTGGTTCCACGTACTTTTCTTTCTTTTCCTGTTCTGAAACATAGTATTATTGTTATTATTATTATTCCAATTTTATATGTCACAATTTAATTGCTTTAACACAGAGAAACATATATGTGCTAATGCTACACTGTACCAACTAATAAAACAAACTAATAAAATGAATAAAACAAATCTTTCCTTCTCTTTACCTCACTGAGTTCCTTCACAGAAGAGCATAAAAATATTTTGTGTAAGAGGAATTAAATTTTTCATGGATAATAAACCAAAAAAATTAAATAGAGTCTATAAAGAATGGAAAACATTTAGTTTGCTATTGTATTAGGTCAACATGAAATAAATTTGGGATAAAAAATAAACACAAAGGATAATTATTTCAGCTGTTTTAAAATTATTTTCAGATACAATTGGACAGATTTCATCTGGAGTTCCTCTTGGAAGGTGAACTCTTCTTATACTGAAAGTTATTTAAGACAAAGGCCTTTCTGCGGCAAACTGAAGACACTGAAATAGATTGAATTTTCGGGGGAAAACAAAACACACTTCCCTTGTTTTTAGGACAAATGCTCCATATAGAGTACTTTTTAGATAGTATTTCTTTTTAAGAACCCATTTCTGTCAATATTGTATGAGACAATGCATTATTCTGGCCTCAAGAGTAAGACGACATTTATATTATAATAAGAACTAATTTTATACAAAGTGCAAGTACTAATTTTATACGAAGTGCTATTATCTGCAATCCTATTTTTTGTTTTGCCTTGACAAGCTTGTCAAATTGATTTAAAAGAAGATTTTCAGGAAATGTCTTAACATAGGTACATTACTATAAGCTTTTTTTAAAGAAAAGTTACGACGAGATTATTTTAAAGTTTCATTCAATGAATACATTTTGTAGACTAGAAGATGTTTACGCTGAAAGAATTTTAAGAACTATATTTTGGGAACACAGAGAGCCATCAGATCTACAGTCATCTATCTCATCAGTCACTCAAGTGTACAATTTTATCAAGAATGTAGTCATATAAGTAGAAAGAGCAATTTATCCGCTCTCAAGGAGCATGCAGGCAGTAAAACAAATAAACAAATGACTTGACCAAGCGTCACAAGTCAAAAAGAAGACACTTAGGTGACTTAGCTAAAATTAAACACAGTGAGAACATGCCAAAAGTTGTTTGAAAAATATGGAGCAATTAAATGTGTTGCTTAATTTACTGCTGAACTGAAACACCATTCATGTAACGTATCTAAGAAATTTGCAAAGCAATGATAGTTGAAAAAATACTGGAAGTCGATCTGGGTATGCATCTAAACTGAATTCTGGCTATATGTGGTATTACAAAGTTAAAATAAGACCCTTACAATCACAACAGAAAGCCATCATATAAACAGAAAAACACCCGTGCTAATTTGGAACAATGTTAAAAGCACTTATTATGTAAGATAATTCAGGATATCGTTATTGAATTATCTTTGATAAATATAAAGTAAAATACTCTTTAATTCAACAAGGACTGCCAAATCATAGCTATGATTGACTTGTTTTTACTTTTTATTTTGAAAAAAAATTATAGTTTACAAAAATTTTCAAAAATATGTATAGGAAGATCCCCCCATGTACTTTTCACCCTGTTTCGCAACCATGATTTATTTTAAACTCAGAAAAGAATAACTTCTTAATTGCGATAACTAGACAAGTAGAAGCAAAGTAAGAATACAGGGATGGAGATGTATAATTGAAAGAAGCAATCTTAAAGATAGAAGTCTAAGTCAAATTCTAAGATACAACAATAGCAACAATAAAAGCAAGTCTGGGGGTATCTGGGTGGATGGCTCAGTTCGTTCAGAGTCTGACTCTTGGTTTCAACTCAGGTCATGATCTTGTGTGTTGTGCGATCCAGCCCCACGTCAGCCCCCAGGCTCTGACAGGAGTCGACTTCTCTAGTCTCTCTCTCTCTCTCTCTGTCTCTCTGCTCCCCTCACCCCCCACTGGTGGTCTCTCACGTGAGCACAGAAGCATGCAAGCTCTCTCTCAAATAAATAAATAAATCTTTTTTTTTTTTGGGGGTGGGGGAACGACTCTAGATGATAAACCGGAGCAAACAAGTTAATTTAAAATGAATTATTAGTTTTTTAGAGGATTTTTTTTTCTTTTTTCTATTACTGTCCAAGTCACAATCCACCAAACTTCTCAGTGAGGGATGTAAATGAATGCCTGGGAAGGCCTTTTTTTAAAAAATTAAATATACCAATTCTCTGAAGATTGCCAAAGAGATGCAGTGTGTCTGCAAGATCTTTTAAATTATATAGCCTGCAATAAAGTGAGGGCCTTAAGGTTACATATATATTATTTAACATCATTTTTCACATCTCTGGTTGTCCTCCATTTTCCTGCTGGTGCACTGGTTTATAGAGTGTTTCTGTGTCTGTCTGTGAGCCAATGCTCATCAGCAGCTGTGCACACACATAAATCTGAAACTGAAGGAACACATACTTCTCTATAGATAGATTGCTCCCCCTGGCTGAGTTGAACTATAATTTCATGATTCATCCCACAGAACATTTTAGAGCCTTTTTATGACATAGAATGCCTCAGTGTCCTCACCTTTTGGAGGACAAAACATATATAAAATCTTCAAAAAGTGTTGTATTTTTAAAACAGACGTTTTTTAATATCACTGGGATCTTTAAAAGCTCTGCATTTCTGGGAATGGGATGATTTTTTAACAGCTGATTGAATAGGGTTAAATTAGGGGTTTTTTGTTTCCATTTGTTCAACATACCCTAATTCCTTCAGAAGAGAGCATGTACTTGCAAAAGATACAACCCAGAGGCATCTGGCTTTCCCGTTATCAAACAGCTTTAACACGGTGTTAAAGCAACAGTGGAGGGTATGGATTTCAAGCGATGCTATTATACGGAAGCCACAGTGCTTATAAGGGGGAAATCACATTAAGAATGAAATCTCAAATATTATATGGACATGCCAAAATATTTATGGATTTAAGGAGAAAGATAAGAGGGAAAGAGGTTATAAAACCAGGCTGAAAAACAACTTCTCTTTGGTCTTTTTTAAGGACTGAGAACTAACCAGATTATAGGAACTAAATTTATTCCAATAACTGAAATGAAGTTATAATTTTGGTTATGAGGCTGTGGATAATATTATTAGATGATTGTATGAATTTGGGAAGGAATTTAAGAATGACTGCCATGGTTTTTAGTCCCTCTGATCTTCAGGTTATATATATTTTTTTCTTTCTAACAAAAAATAACAAGTAGAGCTCACATGCATCAAATATAAAAGAGATATTCAAAACTGCAAGTCTAAGTATACCAGCAAGCCAAAAATAGTTGTAAAGAGAGAAAAAAAATACACAAATATATTTTGCATGCATTTCCTTACTTTTTCCCTTGGGATGTTCTGTTGAAAGAAATAAAAACAATTTAAAAAAACAATTGCTTTTAAAACTTTTTTTTTTTTTTGCTTTTAAAACTTTTAAAGGTAAAATTACTCCCCCAACATATTGACTAGAATACAATTTTTCCAACCCCTTCCACCATTCTCTCTCAAATTTCAGTGTCGCTCTGAGGTATTGCCGATTACTACTATAGGCGTTTCCATAATTTGAGTACAAACCATTGTTTGACAATAAATCAACCTAGGATTACACGGTTTAGCCATTTTCAATGATTTATATCATGCAGTCTTCTTAAACACAGGTGAACACATAATCACATATAAGCAAATACAGAAGAAACATATGAGTTGCCAGATGAGTAATGATTCTATTCAAGACTTAGAGGAACGATTCAGTTCCTAATTGATGCTGATGTATCCAAGATTAATTGAATTTATGCTTTCTAGTAAAATAAATGCTTGATTCTGAACATTATTCAATTTTTTGTCAAGAAACATTTCTTTGAAAATAATTATTGTGAAAGGTAAACATACACAGTATTTATTTTTTATTTTGCCAAATATATCTCATAGCAATATTTTCAGAAAATATTTGCCTCTTTCCCACATGTTCTCTCTCTCTCTCACTTTCTCTCCTCTATCCCATATTCTCATGTATAGTTTTTTCTTCTACAATAATCCTTTAAGAGGAAATGCAATTTGGGAATTCATCAAATATAAGAAAGAAAAGGAAATATTTCCAATACCTTCTACAGGTGTTTTTGTTTTCTTGGAATCTGAAAATACAAAGATAAATAATTGATAAAGCACATACGATAAATCAACAACTGATTAGTTTACAATAAAATGCCAAACACTCTGAAATAATCTTCAGCAAAGTGGACTGATTGCATGATGTATTTCTAGAATCTGGGGTTTAAAGAGAAATAACTGTTTTTGAGAAGATGAGTACAGAGTGAGGGAGTACATAAGAAATTTTCTGAAATAGGAAGACTATAAAAAAGAACAAAGATGAAAGAAAATATCCACATAGAGTTTGCACAGAGATCATATGGTGCCTATTAAAGCTTTAACCTTTTAATAGAAAGTCAAGCTGAGCCAATATATGGTCTACTTCCATAAAGATGGGCTGAAGCCCATAATTTAGTCTGTGGTTTGTTCATTTTCTCAATCTAAAGCCACACGATGTGGATCACCTGCTTTGTACTCTCTGAACAATCAATATATTTATAATACAAATATTCAGTTATTTCTATTGTAATGGGAAAAAACCAGGCTGATGACGGCTCCTCAGTTACTGATGAACACATTTATATTTACTCTGTAGCTGCTACAGAGTACTGTGTAATCAGTGGTCAGCAGACAACTGTTTTATTTTTAGTCTTTGGGTGTTCAGCCTGGATCTGAAGATTTTATTATTTTTTAGTATTTAGGCCATGTAGCTTTCTGTTCCTATCACTGGAAAATAAAATGGGAGTTTTCTGACCCTGTTTATTTTAGAATAGAGGCAGCTTAACTCAAGTTTCTGCACAGAAATATTCTATTTATCTTTGCTTTTTTTCTTTATCTCTTTTGTAATTTAACTTTGAAATTTTCTGAATATTATTGAAATTAGAATTGTAATAATGAACTATGATTGATCATTGCAAAAGGTAGATAAACTGTTTTCTCGCTGATAATTGTATGCTTTAGAATTGAGAATGGTGGACATTTACTAATAATATGTAAGTTAATGGATTTGTGTGCCTTATAGGGACGCAGTTGGCACCTTGATTTTACTTTCATAATGAAGTGATGAAACTAAAATGTTTGGAGATGGCAATGAATGAGAGTTTTTTCACAAAAAGCAGTTAGGTGGTCAACTGAGTTGTTTTATGAAAAAATGATAACCAATGATAGTAATAGTGTGGTATAAGTGAAAACTCACTTTCATAGAAATATACGCTAGAAACACATTTTAGGAAAGCAACTTGAAAGTTGCTTTATAACTAGAAAGTTATAAAAATAAGCATGCTTTAAAAAAATAAGCATGCTTTTTTGATATAGTAAGTCCACTACTAGAAATCCAAACAAAAAAGCTATATAATCATAAAAAATAAATATAGGATGAGGCTTTTTACAACATTTTCTACATCTCTAAATAATGGGAATATTAAACAGTATCTTCTGAACACTAATGGAACTGTTAAATAATCCATAGATATGCACATAATAGAAAAATAAAGTAATTCAAGTGATATTTTTGCAATCTCTTCTTTGTGAACTTTTAACTTTTCTTTAATAGGGATATGTTCCATGTATGAGGGGAAAACAAATGCTATTTTGAAAAATAATAAATCCTTGGAACAAAACATTTATGTATTCAATAAACACCTATTAAGCATTATTATGTCCAGTGTGTCATAATATAACGAATATTGGACTAGAATATCCTTCCTGCCCCTTCAAAAGATAGTTTTCTTGACAGTTTCTCATCTGGAACTATAACTGAGTAGGCTAAATTCGTTTTCTAAAATGTGCTTTGCAAGCACTCTCTTATTCATTTCCTTCATGAGTAATTATCCTAATCAGATAAGCAAATAATTCAAATATGTAGAAAAATATGATATAAAACTATTTCATGTAAGAGTGTGATAAATATCATCTGATTCACATGCCTAACAATGAACAATGCAGGCATGGATTCTTGTAGCATGACAGCTGAAATTATGAAGTGGAAAGTTCAGTGATCTTTCTAAGTTCTCAATTAATTTGGCTCTAGTATACCGGAGTAGGATTTCTGCCTTCCCCAAAGGTCATGTGACTCTCACTAAGCCATCTTTTGAACCTAGACCACAGCCAATATGGAAATCACTGGAAGATTATGGCAAGCACATATTCATTCAGGGATACAAAGGAAAATAAAGTTTGGGAAGAGACTGGTGGGACAGACAGAGAATAAAATGCGGCAGGTAAGGAGAAGACTTTTTCCACCCCTTTGCCTCTATTCTCTGACTAGAGGCTGGCATGGGGTAGATGTGGAAAGCTGAATACAATTATCTATCCGTGAAATGCCTGTTGTTTTAATCTGCTTTCCTTCTCCTCGTAATAAGAATCAGTAATAGTGTATTAGATAGCAATTGCACTGAAATGAAAGAATAAAAAATTAAAAATAAATAATGAAGGAAGTCCAGGATCAGGTAAAGTAAAGAGCTTATTGGGATAAAGTAAAATATTTCATGAAGAAGAAATGTAAAAAAATAACAAGCTATGATCTCACCAAGTAGGTTTTAAAAATTCAATACATGTGTTCTAAAAAAGGGAGCTATATTGAAATTAAGTTAAAATGTCATTATAAAATCATGTCTTTGGGTTATGAGTCGACAGAGCAGCAGATTTACACAAGTAAAATACCTGAGCAACAAAAAACATAATGCTTAGAACTGAAAAATCACACACTGACCCTGAAAAGCTATTAGCAGCAGCCATTAATACTCAGACTATTAAACTTCATTATACCCTCTCAGCATTATACTCTGCTGAAATGGCTTAAAAATATTATAAAAGGCTTACTCAGTCAATATACTTCCCTAAAGACCATATGCCCAATAATCTGAACAACAGTCTTTTATTAAGAACATCGAAACTCATAGCAGCTGTGATTTAAAAGAAGTGATGTGTTTGCAATCTGTTCAATTCATCATTCTCTCATCTTTAGCAACCCACAGTAGTTCCCCTTATCCAGGGGGGATATATTCCAAGCCTCCCCAGTGGATGTCTAAAACTGCAGAAAGGACCAAACCCTATATATACTATATATATTTTTTCTATACATACATACCTATGATGAAGTTTAATTTATAAATTAGGCATAAAAAGAGATTAGTAACAATAGGTAATAATAAAATAGAAAAATTATAACAATATACTGTAAAAAAAGTCATGTGAATATAGTTTCTCTCAAAATATCTTATGATACTATACTCACCCTTCTTGTGATGATATGAAATGATAAAATGCCTGTGTGATGGGATAAAGTGAGGTGAATGACGTAGGCATTATGACTAATGTTAGGCTACTGTGGACCTTCTAACCATGTGTCGAAAGGAGGACCATCTGCTTCTAGGTGGTAATTCACCTCAGGTCACTGAAACTGCCAAATTGAAACTGCAGATAAAGAGGGACTTCTGTATCAGGTATGGTCTAGTATGTTCCTAAGTGATGCTGGAGAAAAACTAAATACTAGTTTTATCAAAGGGAAAAATCAACTCTCCGGTAGTATGAGAATGCAGTGATAAAGCACTCCATTTCCTTTGTATAATTTGCCCATTGACATCTTTATTCAGTTACAATTACAGATATTTAGCTCTGTCTTTCAGCATAATTTCCCTTCAGATCTCAATTTTGAAGGCCTAATTCTCACATGCATTCAACTCTACTTGCTCTTGTTCTAGTTATAGTAAATGATAAATCCAATCTGGCACTTTCTCAATGGAACTGTATCCTTCAGAAGTAAATTGTGTTGGAAAACTCAAAGGCTTTCCAGACTCTAGGAATTCATACAGGAAGCTAAGTTTAAATGTATGGATCTACCTAGATTTGCTAGTGCAATCTAAGCAGCAGCTAGTGATCAAAATACCTATGATGAAATTGTCAGACATCTGGCTATGATTTTTCAGACCTAAAAAGTTTACTGGAATATAACTTCCAATATGATGATGATGATGATGATGAGATAATAATAATAATAATAATAATAATAATAATAATAATAAGATGATGATGATGATGATGATGATGATAATTCTTTCCTGCCTGGGGTGTGGAAAATTGAGTATCTATTCATATTTCTTATAGATATTACATTGATCTTAAGAGCCCTAGATATTACTGATTCATTCACAGAATAAATATTTGTTAAGCAATGTGCAAACTGAGAAAATGTGTCAGTCCCAATAGGAGATAAAATTGAATTAGACATGGTCCCTTTAATCAAAAATTTTAAACTCTATTAGAGTAGAAGGAAAATGAATACCTTTAATATAAGTACAAGTTGGTAAGAAATAAGTGATGGTAGGGAGGTATAGATAAATTCTGATGGGAGATTATAAATGAAAAAGAAAAAATATTTAATTGATAGGGTCAGATGTCTTAGAGGAAGAAAAATTTTTCCTGAGCCCTAAAAATCATTGAATATTCATAGAAGGAAAAAGAAAGGATAACTTCTGTTTTGATATTGGCAGCAACAAAGGCAAGACAGAAAGTTTTATGTATAAAATCGAGAATGGCTTGATATGGATGAAGTATGTGATACCTAAAGGAAGAAAGTGAAGAGAAGTATAAGGTAAAGCCTCTGTGACGATGCCATGGTGGCCCTGCACATATCCATATAGAACCTGCTGGCCAAGGTTTATTATTTTTTAAAAAGACTTTCTTTATTTATTCATGAGAGACACAGACAGAGAGGCAGAGACACAGGCAGAGGGAGAAGCAGGCTCCATGCAGGGAGCCCCACGTGGGGCTTGATCCCGGGTCTCCAGGATCACAGCCTGAGCCAAAGGCAGAAGCTCAACCACCCAGGCGCCTGCAAGCCAAGTTTTAAACTACAGCTAATGTGAGTATCAGCAGAATGCCTTATGATCCTTCTGGAACACAAGAGGACGGGTGGCTATCGTCAGCTTCTTACCACCTCCTGAGTTCTCCAGCCTAGAACACTTTGGAACCGAGTTGCAGACCATTAAACCATTTGGCTGTGGTATAGAACTGGCTCCTCCACACTGAAATGTCCCTAACTTGTATTATAGCATTATCTGGCCTCTTTTCTTTTGGTGTCATCACTTTTTGGTGTGTAGGACAAGAACCATGAAGTGCTGGCACCTTCAGCTATTCTTGCTTTTGCTGACCATGAAGGTAATGAATTGTCTCTATCTCGAAAGATCTCATTGTATCTTTCCTGGTGGAATTATTCAGGCTTTGGCTTTGTCTTTGCCTAGATGTATACATGACAGGAGGTCAGGAAACAGACTGTGCAGACCAGGTCTACAGGTTAAGGTCTGTAGACCATATTCTGTGGTTGGTGTGAAGCCACTGAATATTTTAAACAGGTAACATCATGAAAAGTTTCATGAAGTCAGTCCAGTTTTTTGAAGGACACTATTTAGAGAAAATATTATAGGCAGGATTATTATTTAGGTTAGAGATTCTCAAATTGTTTCGTCTCAGGAATCCTTTAAGTTCTTTACAATTTTAAAAGACCCCAAACAGCTTTTATTTATGTATTTATGTAGTTTCTATCCATTGATGTTTATAATTTTAAAAATTAAAGTTGAGAAAAATTTAAAATATAAATTTGCTTATGCATTTAGTAAAAAAAAGAATAAACATGTTACATGTTAGCATCAATAATATATTTTTATGACAAATATATTTCCAATGCAGAAAAATTGGTAAGATGAGTGACTTTGTGAATCTCTTTAATGTCTAGCTTAATGAGAAGACAGTTGGATTTGCATATCTGCTTAAGTATTCAATCTGTTGCAATAACACAAATTATGTAGCCTCTGGAAACTCCAGTGTAGACTCCTGGGAGGACAATGAACCAGGCGAACTATGACTTCATATTTTCATAAAAATAGTGTTGACCTCAAAAAACCACTGAAAGAGTCTCAGAGACCCCCAGGAGTCCTTGACCACATTTTGAGAACGTCTGATTTCAGAAATCGTTGCCCTGGTTCACATGAGAAGTTAGTAAAACCAGTATGAGGTCACAAACAGCAACGTGAGGTGAAATCTAGAGGACTAGGTGCTGTGAATGAAGATTAGCCTTTCTAATTATTTTAGGAAAGGTTAAACAAAAGAGAGTTCAGCCAAATTAAAAATTCTAGAAGACTAAATGCCAGAGGCAAGGGAAAAACAGAGGTTGAAGCTTACACCAGAATTTGTGTCTCTGCATCTACAAAGAGAGTGGGGCAATTATATAAGAAGAAATGGAGAATAAGCACATTTTATACAGAAAAAAATACAATTTGTTGGGATTTTGACATTGAGAACTAATGAAAAGTAAGAATGTTTGTTAATAGATGTCTATTGGAGGAGAAAGAGTGGCATACAGGAGAAATTTCATTAGAAAAAGGCTTAGAGGAAGAAGGACGTCAGTGGAATATTTACTTAGCTCCACTTAAGTCAAGGTATGATTGCTCTGATGCCAAAATTCCAAAGAACAGTAAAATTGATGGGCAAAGCTCAGTGAAGCCCAGGATCTCTCTTGTTAAGGTTTCTGAGAGAGATATGATAGGAAATGGGGGCATAAATCTTAACATGAAAAGCAAATCTTTAGGGTTCACTATGCAAGAAAAGCCCTTTGCCCCCTGGTGCACAAACCATCTTTGATAATAAAACTGGTATGCACTTTTGTTTATGTATTTTAAAGTTCACTAACAAAAGAACTTCCCAGGGCATTCTAATTAAGCCCTAAGGCCCTCCTGATTTTCTTCTTCTCCAAGAAATTTGTCAACCATTAGTATCTTTGTTGTTGTTGTTGCTTTTATTTTGTTAAAAAAAGGTTTTATTTATTTATTCATGAAAGACACACAGAGAGAGGCAGAGACACTGGAAGAGGGAGAAGCAGGCTCCATGCAGGGAGCCCGATGTGGGACTCCACCCCAGGACTCCAGGATCACGCCCTGGGCCAAAGGCAGGCGGTAAACCTCTGAGCCACCCAGGGATCCCATCAATTAGTATCTTTGAACATATACACTCCACGAGTTTAAATGTAAATAATAATAATAAAAAAAAACTTTGTATAAAATAGAATGTTGAAAATCCAAATTGTATCTGGTAATTTGTATTAAACATGCCTCCTTTGAATACACATGTGCTTCCTGCCTCTATGGAAAAGATTTCTATAATCTTATTGAGATTATAGAAAACAAGAAACAAGAGCTAGCAAGCTTAGATCCATATACCTCTCACCCCTGCTTAAGAGGAGAAAGGGAAATAGAAACTCATGAAACATAATCAAAAGATGGCCCAGGATAGCTGGACATTGGATCTGTTTTCCTTTATATTCTGGAAACAATGAAAATTATTCCAGATAGCTGTTATTTTTTTTTCCTCAACTGCATAATCTTTGCAATTATAAAACTTTTCCAAGTAAAAGATAAAAGATAATCTATGAAATTCTTTGGAAATAATAATTTAGTAATAATAAAATAAAAACAATAATAAAATGGGGTCTATGTGTAATATATTTTACAGCTGGTAGTGGACACTGGACTACTTGACTCTCCAAGATAAAGCTCTGCCCAAGCTCTCCAAGCTCTTCCAAATGTTGCAGATTGATTACAAACAATTTCTATTAAAAAAAAAAAAAAAAAGGAAGCATCTAACCAGGAAAAATAGAACAAAAAACCTTGGAAGCATAACAATGAGGAGGGAAAAAAGATATAAAGCCTAAAGCTATGCAATTTGTAATTTGACTATTGTTCATATGCCCAAAAGTCTTCTAATACTTTGGTTTGAATACTAATGAATTGAAAAATAACTTCATATTACTCTTTTTCTTAAATCAAATGGTGAATTGTTCTTTATTCCTAAGAAAGAATGGTGGAAAAGATTCACATTTTTGAGGACTGTCTATCAAAAACTGCCTATCAAAAACCAAGAACTTAGTCTCATTCTTTCTTTTTAACATCTCTGTACATTCACCACAGTGTTCATCATGTAAATGATGTAATTTCCAGAATACACCTAAAGATTTCTTATGTGTACATGGGGAATTAATACTAATTTCAATCTCTTGAAAATAAACTCACTAACATGTCTAAGTCGGCTTTATTTTCATACCATGGTATTGCTCTGTCCGAACAAATAATGACCAACTAAAATATTTTTTCTATCTCCCATCTATTAGATGGGACTCTTAGATTCCTGTTTAATAGAAGCAGAATGTGACTTCCAAGCTGTTATGATTATGTAAAATTCTGATGATACTAAATATAAAATATAACACTTGCTTTCTATTTTTCTCAGATTATATGAATACTAATTAGAATATTATTGTCATTTTCAATGTTAGAAATAATTGCTTATATCTTCATACTATTTTTACTAAGAAAACAAGCCTAGATTCATACACAGTGGTTATATCTAGACATTGTCTAAGTATGTCAGGGTACATAAGAAACATCTCTCTAAATAGAATCACAGTGACTAAGATGGTCTTAATATTCCCCTTAGCTTGACTAAATTTCAGACAGGAGTCTTCCTGATTATAGGTCCTCAACCTCCCTTGTATTAGTACATTTACTTTAGAAAACCTGCAATTGTAAATTCTTTCTCTGTTCCTTTGAAATATAAATCTGCTACAACCAGAAATATCTTTCTCGGGACCTAGGAGACATCCTTTTGAAATGTAATCATCAAAGGATATAGAGTTCCTCTATCCCAGTCTCTATGGGAAGGAAGGAGCCTAACTTCAATAAGCAATAATTAGTAAACACAGATGGCATAATCACAATGACCGCAGCCCCACACTCCAACTGCCCAACATCCTCCAGTTCCTTTCAAGTTCATCTCAGAGCTTTAAAATTCTTTAAAATTCTCAGGCTTTATGTTTCAGTGGTGTTGGACTTGAATTTCTATTGCAATGAAATGAAGCCCTATTGCAATAGTCGTCAATAAAGTCTATCTTATCTGTTAAGTTCCACGGGATGCCTGTTTTCCTTGACAGCAAGGAATATTTTACTCCATCTCATGACATTCTGACAAAAGGAGGTGGTGTGTAGGGGATGGACTATGCCTTATTTGTTATTTGCAACTTAATGGAATGAAGTATCTTCAGTTGCTGGTTAGTGTCAGAGATATAAGCAGTTAATAGAGTAAAATAGTCAAAATTTTCCACATTTTGGAAATTTGATAAAGCTTCTAATGGAATGGAAGATCTGGGATTTTGAGAAGTCATGTTTTATCCTCTATATCTTGAGAAAGACAAGATTTAAAATTGTTTTTTTAGAAAGTAATTTTCCCTTTTATATGAGGTAATGAAGGAAAATACATTCAAGAAATGTCTGCATAATATAGATCCAGATACCCAATGGAAGCACAGGCAAGATGACAGACAAAACTCAAATCTAGATTTTGGTAAATTGTTTACACAAAAGGCATAGTGGAATTTTTGCATTAAACATACCTTCCTTCTTTTCATCTTTTTTAGCCGCTGCTGAAATAAAATAAATAAAATAGTGTTGAGAGATTAAATGAATTTTAATTGTTTTTCAGAATACTCCTGGGAATATGAGACTGTATTCCATGTATTTATAAATTGAGTGGTTATCTATGCACAAATTCATCCATCCAACTCTGCAATAAGAGAATAACTTCAAAATATTATTTTATGTGAAGGTTTTTTTAAAACTCAGATATCAGCATAAAACCAAAAAAATAATTAAAAACATATTGTTACATAGACAAGAAGTCAAATTAATAAGTACAGACTGTAGTTTAGTGTAAGTTCATTTTAGTTCTGAAACTGTTGCATCTGAGAAAAGTACAAACAGTTCTAGAAGAATATGATTAGATCTATGCCAAAAATGGTGGTGATATTTCATAAATTATCTGTGCCTAGCTATTAAGAAATTATACACCAGTTGATTTCATGCATTTATGACAGTAGTATTTAAAATGTCCCATTTTAGCAAGGGGTAACAACTTTTAGCAAATGTATGCCATCCTTACACAGAGAAAAAGCATGGCACACTTTAATCACCTTTGAACTCTGACTTTCTCTGCGGCAGATTTCATCTAATCCTGAATCATGAATCTAAATCTGGATCCAACTTGTAACTTACCTTACCAAACACATTTGGGGGAGGTATGCAATCAGTTTGGTATTGTTCCAAGCAAGATGACTCTTGGTTCTGGGTAAAATTCATTCAGGAGCCAAATCCATTCCAAGAAGTCTTAAGCCACATGAATTGAATCAGAGATTGTACATATTCCCTTAAAGTAATCCTGTCTGTGTGAATTAGAATTGGGGAGGGGGGGCACTCTGACCGAACAGCTAGTGCTTTGGGTGTTTGGGCTGCGCTATACTTACCATAGCACTTTCATGTGCATCTTCTCACTGGAGCTTCACCTAGACCCACCTAAGTTCTTACTGGCTACAGAAAATTCACTGCCTAGATGACCCCCCCCCATCTGCTCAACATAAAACTGCCCCAAAATGAATCCTCATCACCTCCCTTAAGCTAGTTCCTTTCCCTGGGACTTATTTTTGACAATTATAATAATCGTATTCACCCAGGCTCAAAAGTTCAGTACCATTTTTTAAAAAAAGATTTTACGTATTTATTTGAGAGAGAGAGAGAGAGAGCGCACAAGCAGGGGGAACAGCAGAGGGAGAGGAAGAAGCAGGCTCCTCTTAGAGCAGCGAGCCTGATTTGGGGCTGGATCTCAGAACCCTGAGATCATGACCTGAGCTGAAGGCAGCTGCTTAACCGACTGAGCCACCCAGGTGCCCCTCAGTACCATTTTAATTTCTTTTATTTCATTCTGTATATTCTTCCAAATACTATTTCTTCAAAATATCCATCTTAGTTGTATTGTTTTCCCAAGTCTTTGACACCACCATAGTTGATTGTCTCATATCTTGATAATGGCAATAGCCTTTCATGATCATCACTAGCTCTTTATTTATTTAAGCCATCTAGTAGTGCTAGTAGTGCTAGTGGTGCTTTTTCTCCTCTGTCAGTTTATTCTTTAATCATGCTCCAAGCCCAAGTGAAGTCATCCTTCATCTATGAGGAATCCTTCAACTCCCAACTCATTAAAAATCACTTTGTCTTGACTAGTATGACATTCATTATCTCTACAATTCAATTCAGCATGACATGATATTCTATTTATGTTATATTTTAAATTTCTTATGTCTCCAAATTATAATATGTAGTACAGAGTCATTTATTCATACTCTTCTCTATCTCAAACTCTGTTAAATTTTTTTTAAATGTACCTCCCAAAAAATGTGCTAACTTTTAATAAAAGAGCTAAAAATGCACACATTTACACACAGCTTATATAAAACTAGATTTTAGATATATTCTTTGTCATAAAAGTAAAAAAATAAATAAATGAACAGATATATTCTAGTCTTTTACCACACTGCAAGCATCATTATGAATTTTGCCATTTTATACACCAAAATATCAGTCTGCTGCAGCAATACTGCCAATTGTGTTCAAGCTCTGTCTCCTAATGAAAAACATGCAAACATTAATTATTTCTATACTTGATTTAATAATGCAGCTGTGGTATTATAAACCTAAAAAGGATCTAGGGATGATATAGGCAGCACGAGTGACATTTATCCTTGCTTGATGTCCCTGCTTTGATGTGTCATTGCCATTTTAGTGAACAGCCCCAAACTCTGGCCTTGTATAATATATTTAATCAACACATTTATATAATTTCCTTAAAATAATGGTTCTAACAAAACTGAATCTCCAGGTTATTAATGACTCAACAATAAATCTTTGATTCCGAAAGAATTATTTCTGAGGCTGCCTTGTCCAGCCTAGTTGGAATGGAAACATGAAGAACCCATGGCCCCAAGCTCAAATTTGAAGCAAGTTTCCATATATCTCTACAATTTCCTTCCCTTGAATTCCTCTGATATGACACTAAAGGAACATTAAATTCCAGCTGCAAGTTGTAGTTTCACATCCACCAAAGCCCTCAAAAACCTCAATCAAAACAGAAGTGTCTTAAGGCAAGTTTTTTTCTTTTTTATAAGAACATATATACATCAACCACAATGCTTCTTTGAACTGGTAGCCATTTGCTTGAGGAAAAGACTCTTGAATTGCATTTTCACGAGTGAAAAACCCCAAGCGATAATAATATCTGTCTGCATTGCTGTGTCCCGTAATATTTGTTACACTCCTATTAGAACTCTCCCAAAGAAGAATCTGTTTTCTTGAACCTGATGATTAAATGAAAATTAAAAATTGGTATCATACCTCTTCATCATCCTAGCATATGCGTTGCTTATAAATAACATCATTGGGTCAAATGGAATGCAGACAACCTATTTTACCAATATTTAATATGATGATTCCACACCTAGTTGAGTCCAAGTTAAATGCAACCATGTCATGTGTTATGTGCCGAGAAGTCTGCTAGAAAGGCTTTCTGGCCAGAAACAAATATAACACCATTTAAATGCATGTCCTTTATTGCTACATGTTGTGTAATATAGCAAAGGAAAGGAAGCAAAGATTCTCTCTATTCAGGATGGGTTCTCTCTATTCAGGTGATGGGGATTAGTAGTGCACTGGGTGTTGTAAGGAAGTGTCAAGTCGCTATATTGTACACCTGAAACTAATACAACACTACCACTGTATGTTAACTAACTGGGATTCAAAACTTAAAAAGCCAAAAAACTTTCCTCTATTAAATACTTTACCTCTTCTTCCGTAAATGTGATCCATAAAGTTTTCATAGACGACAGAAGTCAGGACACTTCTGTCCTTCCTTTATGCTTTCATCAAATTACTTTTCATGGTTTAAGAATAAAGGTCAGACAAATCATATTCCATTCTGTTTACTTGGAAACACACAGGAGTCAGAATAGCTTTCTCACAAGATGTGATTTCAGATAATGGTTTAAAAAAATAACTTTACAGGAAAATTATTTAAAAGAAGTACTTTTCCCCAAACTGATCACTTAAACACTCAATATTTTGGGGTGCCTGAGTGGCTCAGGCAGTTAATTATTAACTGTCAGTAAATTATCCAACTCTTGGTTTGAGCTCAAGTCATGATCTCAGGGCCACACATATGGCTCTGTGCTCAGTGGGGAGTCTGCTTGAGATTCTCTCCTTCTCCCTCTGCCCCTCCCACCGTTCTCTCTCTCTTTCCCTAAAATAAATAATATTTTTCTAAAGTTCTCTTGAAGAAAATCACTTTTGATGACCCAAAGTTATTAGTAAGTGATGAAACTGATTTTCTCAGGTGGCTTATAAAAACTAGGGCCGTTACTTTGTAGTCATATCTGGAACCCAATTTCTGCAGTCTTAACATAGATGTAATAATATCAATTTAATAACATTCTGGCTGATTTTTCTAATATGACACAAATTACAAAGTGCAACCGAAAACATTGGAAAAATTGGATATTATTTGTATATCTCCATCAATCTTCCTATTATCTATCAATGCATCTTATCTATTATCTATCAATGTATCTATGGCTTATTTTTAGAAATATAAATAAAAGCTAATGACTGAAACTTGGGGTCAACACACTAAATCTTGGGTCCTTCATGATTCCTCCAGCTACTAAAAAACAGTCGAAATGTGTATTGTAATGCAACAATACTTTCTGTAATAACCCAGCAGATGGTGCTATTCTGCAATAAACAGCTTTTGCTTTCGTCAATAAAGTGCTATGTAGTGAAAGAGAAAGAAAAAAAAGAAAGAAAGAAAGAAAGAAAGAAAGAAAGAAAGAAAGAAAGAAAGAAAGAAAGAAAGAAAGAGAAAGAAAGAAAGAAAGAAAGAAAGAAAGGATGTTAAGTATTTTATTGCTTACCTTGTGCCACAACTTTTATAGTCCCTTGTTTGGTTTCAGGAGCTTTCCCTGGCTCTTATAAAGAAAAAAAAGATAAATTACCATAAGTACTATTTCAGAAAGATATTTAATCCCCACAAAAGAGGAGATTAGAAAATCGAAAACAAATATAAAAAACATTGCCCTTGGCACTCAGAATTTTTGTTAAGAAAAGAGCACAATTATTAGGGGGGATCACTAAGATATTGGGTTTATTGAGATAAAAATACAATTTCTCAAAACTGTTTGCCTTATTGTTAACTGGCCGCGGGGCACTTTGCATTTGTTTGGCACCTGAATTTGAAAATCTCAGAATTCTTTATAAATTATTTCTGTATTATCACTTTAGAAATGGATGGAACATTTAGACATAAATAAGTGGTTCATAGGTGCACACTGAGGAACTAATATGAGGATAAAACCCAGAACCACTAATATCCATCTCGTCTTTTACTCAAGATGCCACTCCCCATGTGTAGGGCTGTGATGTCCATCTCTGTTAGTGTGGTCCCAGGCAGAGTATGGGTTATGAGAGAAAAAGAAAACTTCATTTTGAATCTTTCTTCCCTCTTATCTATATTTAAAAATATTATTTAATTAATTAACATGAAAAACAAAGGGGAAATAAAGATTTCAAAAAGCAAGCTTCTTTCCCATTTCACTTTATAATGGTTTGTGATTATCTTCAGTAAGCTTTCAGTAATTAAATTATTATTTAATAATATGGGGAGGAAGATATGGTCATTCTTTATAGATATTGACCTTTATTCATTCATTCATTCATCACATATAGATTTGGGACCTATTATGTGAATATACTAAGATATGTGAAAATACAGTAGCTTATACAGATATATACTCAATATTTTGTTTAATTATCATCAAATGTTGATTATAGCTTATTTAATATTAACTTTTAGAGTTAAAAATTAGATTGCATCAGAATAACTTGCAAAAAATCAAAGTTTCCATGTTTTTTAGGCCAAAAAAAGGTTTCATTTCTAAATCACGCCTTGCCTCCTGTTGGTGAGGTAATTGTTCATTTATATCATAACAAAGATTATGAAAATGCCAATTAGTCATTCTGTTTTTTATAAAAGAAATATTTGATTCATATATGATTTTTATTATTACCCTATTTATTATTCAAAGAAAAATCTTTTGCCAAAATTAAGTTGATTTTATTTTACCTATGATCTCTTTATTTTTTTTCCCCTAGAGGAAAATATCCATGCCAGCTTCATGCTAGTGCTATCTTTGTCACACCTAGAACACATGACCTCAATAGTTAGTCAAGATTTATATACAGACATTGAATTTTTAACTAACGTATTTCTCGGTATTGCTCTAGCTCTATACCTACATGACTAGCATCTAGTAGCCACTTAATAAATATTGGTATTAATGGAGCTAATTCTCAACTCTGAATCATAAAATATTATTTTCCTCCATAATTCCATCTACTCTGTCTCTGATCTCAAGCTTTTCAGTAGAAATTAACAATTTAAAACCAAATGCTTTCCAAGTCTGTCAACTTGCATTCACCCAACATCAATCTCAAATCTGTTGAGGACACATGAAGAGGTGAGGATATTTGATATCTACTTCTGTACAGCATTACAGTTTTCAAAACTACAAGGCTTTAAGGAAGGAGTTAACTCTGAGACCATAAATGAACAGCATTATGGCCACACCAAAAATAGCAGAAGAGTGAAAATACATCAAACATCAAATCCATACAAATTTTTTATTATAAATAATTTTTCTTTTATTACTGCCAACTACAGAAGAAACTGACTTTTTCATTAGGAAAAATTTCAAATATCTATAAAACCAAAGAAGAAAGTATAATGATCTCCATGTACCTAAGACCCATTTAATAATTATCATGTGATAGCCAGTCTTATTCTCTCAATATTACTCACTACTGCCTCTACATGTGTCCCAAATGAAAATTTCATTGTAGCGAATACAAATGATTTCATCATTCCTAGGATTTTATTTGATAATTTTGTATTTTTGAAATAAAATACAATGATTTTTTTAAAAGGATTTTATTTATTTATTCATGAGAGAAAGAGAGAAAGAGAGGCAGAGACATAGGCAGAGGGGGAAGCAGGCTCCTTGAAGGGAGTCCAGTGTGGGACTTGATCCCTGAACCCAGGATTGCGCCCTGAGCCAAGGGCAGACACTCAACCACTGAGCCACCCAGATGTCCCAAATACAAAGATTTAAATAAAAACGGATGATGAATTCAAATAAATTCAAATAAGGAGTATAATAACTCTGAAATTGATTAGTAATATTTTGGGCCACAAAATCAGACAGGATGGACCTAGATTAATATGTCAATATAATTTACTTGGGAATGTCTTAGCAAAAAATTATCAGAGAAGTTAGTATCTTTCAGTTCCTGAAACATGTGTTTATATAAAATGTCAAAAATCAGCTAAACCAAATGGAACAGTCCAATTTATAAAATTGAAAAAAAACATTATGAATCTATAAATGTTTTGTTAAGGAATCAATTTTCACATACAGATTTAAGCATTAGTTCAATATCATAAACTTTTCATTTACAGGATTCTGTTTATACTGACTTCATATAATATGAAATGTAAACTCATTGCGTTTTCAAATGTATGTTTCACAAAACTTTATTTTTTTTAAGATTTTATTTTTAAGTAATCCCTACAGCCAATGTGTAGATCTCGAACTCATGATCTTGAGATCAAGAGGCGCAAGCTTCACCAATTGAGCCAGCCAGGCCCTTCAGCAAATAGACTCCCATCCCGAGTTCAGCTTTGGTCTGTGACTAACAGATAGTAGATGAAGAATAATAATAGTATTGTTGTGCTCATACTTACATTTTAAATATTTTGTAAGCAATCTTTCAGTTCCCTTCAAAATAAATCATTACATTTATAATGTTTTTATTCTTGAAGGTAAGTTGAAGGGCACCTGGTAGTTCAGTAGGTTAAATGTTGCACTCTTGATTTCAGCTCTAATTGTGATCTCTCCATTGTAAGATTGAGCCCCGCAATGTGTAGGGAGTCGGCTTGTCCCTCTTCTTCTCTCTTCCCTACCCTCCCTCCCAGCTTACACATGTATGCTTGTTTGCTCTCTCTTTCTCTCAAAAATAAATAATTTTTTTAAATCTTAAAAAGTAATTTGGGAGCCATCATTTTCTCTTTTAAAAGGAACAATCAGTAGTCCCTACATAACACTTAAACCCTTTACAAAAGAGTAAAACACAAAAGAAAGAGCTGAGGGAAAGAAAGGTGAGTAATCTGACAAAGGTAGGAGAACAAGTGGCAGCAGGTAGTAAAGTAGTTAATGGTTTCCGAAGACTTAGTCTTCATCCTCGTCATTTCTCAATAACCAGCCCGCTGGATTCAGCAGTACAGATTTCTATTTCAGTGTGTGACTATATTTAAATTAATTACCAACAAAACTATAGCTTCCTATAGTCTATAAATTCCATGTGATCACTGACGAGTTATTTATTCATCTAGCATCTAGCAAAGTACTGGGAAAACTATCTCCCTTAAATATGCAAGCAGTTGATTGTATAAAAAATACAATTATAAAAGTATAAAAAATCTAATTGAACATTTTATTTTTATTTTATTTATTTATTTTTTAATTGACCATTTTAAATGAGACATTAAGTTTTGGGCTCTGTTGCACTTTTAAGGTGATAAAAACTAATTCAAACTCTTCTTTTCTTTGTTCATATATTATACGATATGCAGAAAATGTTTTAATTTTAAATTTCAGAACTTTATTTTCACCACAGTATTGTGTGACCCTGGCTGCAATTTGGAATTTTTTAGAATTTCACTATATCAAACAAATTTACAACAATTTGCATAGATTTGGAAATTTAGGAATTCCACTGAAAAGCATGACATGAACCACACATTTCTTTAAAACTCAATTTGCGAATCAATTTTCTTTCATTAATTTTCAAAAAAAAAAAAGAGAGAAATAGAAACATGTCTCCAAGGCCATTTCTTGCTAATCCTAGTAGGGTTAAATATTTAGATTGTTCTTAGGTGAGAAAAGGTGAATGACTTTTCCACAAACCAGAAAAGAAAGAAATATTTACCGATTCAGCAGCTAAACTGTGAACTAGCAATATGAAGACTTGATCTATCAAAATATATGCATCCTTTTTGAATAAGATACCAGACTCTAAAGTCAAATCATCCTGCAATCTAATGAACTGCTAAATTAAGCCCTAAATCATTGTTTTTTATTCTCATAAAATCTAATTTACTATTTTTAGATGTAGATACTCCCAAAATAGAGAAAGGTTAACATGTAAGCTAAAAATTACTATATGCTTAAAAGGTCTTAAGCTAATAACCCTCTTGACTTCATAGCTCCAGGAAAGCATATTTCAGAGGCATTGCTTCATCTGAGTATGACAATTATCCCATTGAGATGAAATTAATCATGAAGCAGCCTTCGGCCATCCTGTCTGACCAAGGGGACTGAAGCCTGAAAGGAGGGCCTATTTGCTGCGAGATATGCAAATTGCAAAAGGTGCACAATGCAGAAACATGAATAATTTATCAAAATAATCTGTTATTGCTAGAGGTTAAAAATCTAAATAAACCGGCAGCATCATTTACAATAGGTAGCATAATTTAGCTTCTTTTATTCCCCCAGGAAACTTTTATTTCATCAAGCAATATATTTTGTTTTAGAATCTAAGTAGTTTTTAACTTAATATCTTAGCATTACAGAGTTTAATTCAGGAAAAAAAATGATTATTCAATGTCTGCTGAAATATTCCCTTAATTTTTTTAATCTTTAAGAAAACATACTATCTTTTTGATCAAAACCATTTTAAGCATTTCTTAATTTGAAAAAAAAAGAGCTTTGATGTTTTTATTAAATATGTCAATATCTATCTATAGTTTCTACACATGGAATCAGTTTTTCTTCTATCACTTGGAGAGAATTAAGCATAGGAAAAAATCTTTAAATACAGTCAGAATATTCACAGTTTAATTTGTTAATTTAAT